TCAATCAGGAATTTCATGTCGATCCCTGCTAATATTCGTCTGATGACGGATAGCAGGGACTTCCCTCTAAAAAATTGATAGCATCAGAGTCGTACTCCCGAATAGCGTCGTCGTCTACCTTTCCTGCAGCACTGGAGGCTGCTGTCTTCGGCCTTGGTTGACCCTTTGTCTTTTGTGAGGGGCCGAGCGGGCAGACGCAGCCGGCGTCGACTTTTGGTAAGCCGGGGAGCGGGATAGTTGAATCATCTTCGACAACGACGGGTCGACGTCCATGGGCTCCGGTGTGTTTCCTTGAGCAATCTTATCGCTTCGTGGGGCAGAGTTCGTTTGTGCCTTGTGTTGCTTAGAAAAGTGCGGGTTCTTCCCAGCACTTCCCTGTGAGTTAGCCTGTGGAGGGTACTGTTAGCGCTCCTGCACTTTGGGGAACTGCTTATGGTCCCTTTCTTCTAGGCTTTTTGCGTGGTGTGGTTGGATTCCACTTCTTGCGCCAAGGCGTTGGTAAGCAAGGTGATCTTTTTCTCAACTTCGTCGTAATATTGTGGGAGTGTTAGGATTCTCTGTCTGAGGGTGCCTAGCTCTTGTTCGATAACGTGTATCGGGCGTTTGTAACTGTAAGTGAAATCGAGTCGATTTATGATCGCGTCGAAATACAATACAGTTCCAAAAGAGGATGGGACAGCGTCGGCAGGGCCTTTAATTTTGCTCTTGATAATGACAACCGCCTGATAATGGTGTGCTATTCTCATAGTTTCTGAACATATAGTATGCGGCTATTGCCGCGTATGTTTCCTGGGTCCCCAAAAATTCTGGTAGACATTTAACTGCGTCCAATGTCTCGGTACAATTTACTGCTCCCTCAATTTTTATTGGTTGGTAAACCTTAATTTGTGGAGCTTTTGATTGTGCAGGGGCAACACTTACAGCCACGACTCGGTTGGCTAGTTTCTGAATTTTTTGATTCAGTTCCTGTTCCCTAAGTTGGCTTTCTACAACTTTTACTTGTAGTGCTGCTATGACCGCCCTAATTTTTTCCGCGTCGAAAGACATTTTTTTTTAAGTGTAAATGCGTTAGCACCGACCTTTTTCAGTGTAGAATTTTCTGCTGAATCTTCGCTATCATACCCTGAGAAGCTAGCGTATTTTGTAGAATTCCTATACCCCCGGAATCAATAGCTCATGAGAAGCTGCGTTTGTTGATATTCAGGCCGTTCTGCTTATGGGGGCAACTTGCATGACGAGGGGGTTGCGGGGTCTGAGTCACCGTTTTGAAAGCATTCACCGAGGGCTTGCTGAACGGAGCGGCTACCTTGCCAACCAACGATAAGATGATGGGCTCGCGGGGGACGGGTCTCCGCTGAGACAAACAAATATTATATAAAAGACTAAGGAAAATTTCCACAGCAATGCTTGTGCTGCAGTATCGGGTAGCAAAGTGGAGTGGGGCAGAATCAAATGCACACAGTTCAACATAAATTGCAAAGTCAATGAGAATTTGAAAGTTGGTATTTCCTCAGCGTGTTGCTGGAATAGTTAAATTTAAATTTGGTGATAATAATAATATTATTATTATTATTAATATTATTATTATTAATAATATATAATATATTGTAAAACAGATTATTAATATAAACCACAAAGTCAATCAGAATATTAAAATTGATACCCTTTCAGCGCATCGGCAGTGATATATATTATAAATAAAATTTTTCTTTTAATAATGTTTTATTACTTAAACCACACAATTAGAATTTTTATAGCGCGTCGGGTATATATAATAATTTATATAACAATAATAAATATTATATTATATAATAATTATAATAATAAAACGAATTTGTTAGTATAAGTTATAAAACATATCTACTATTTAATGCATTATTATAGAAATGCAGATTTTATTCTTGCAGTGTAGGGTTCTTTTTATTAAAACCACAAAAATATTTGAATATTTTATTGTAAATGCAGAATCTGAAGGGTTAGTTTGAGTATAGTTGCTCACTTACATATTTTTGTGTCGTTGATAATGTTTTAGTTGGGTGCCAATTAATAAAGTCGGGGTGCTGCAGGTGAACGTCACAAGCCGGCTGCCTGATGTGGTCTTCACGAAAGTTGGCTGCGTCTAGCCAACTATTCTCCTCTCCAGAGTGTTCCTCGCAGCTGTCTTCTCACGGTGTCGGGGGAAGTGATCCAATAAATCCAATTATAGATTTATGAAGATTATGATGGCTTCCGTCTATTCGACTTTACTAGGACTTTATCACCGACCTGGAACACTCTGTTTTGTCGAGAAGCGTTTCCTCGGTTCCTGGTCATATCTTGGGGGATTTTTTTTTCCTGGACGTCTCGTTGAGGATCGTCCGGGTTTGCTCGCATAACCTGAGCCGGTTTCTTGTTAACGACAGAGTGAATAGATTTGTTGTATCTGGCGGTGGCCAGCAAGATCAATTCTACCGTGTCACTTATGCGTTTGTCAATTTTCAGGCATCTGGCAGGTTCGGCCAGCGTGCTAGGCCTGTACAGACACTATGGAGGGGCGGTGGTTTTCCTGCATGGCCACTATTGTGTGTGATTTCAATTATGGTTCATTGTCGCAGTAGATGGCCTTAGCTTTGGGGAACACATTCATCAGTTGTAGCAGGGGCGGTTTCAAATCGTCTATGGTTCTAGATGGAATAGGCTGTACCATAGAAAATTTAGAAAACTTGTCTATGCAAGTGAGGAAGTATTTTCTGTCCGTTGAGAAAATATCGATGTGCAATATTTCTCCTACATGCGTCGGGACTGGAGTCTCGCCGAGCTCCTGTTTTCTCGGATGTCTGTCCTACTTTGTTTTGGCGCATGTTTTGCAATTAGCGGTAATCTCGCTCGTCATTTTCGGGAAGTAGTATTCAACGTGTGGAGATCATAGTGGAAGGCATTTACACCATTAGAAATAATGGCTAGTTCCTCTAGCAAAGACTGTTTGCACGAGAAATTGATTGAGTGACGCCTTTTATTTCCAAACAGTACGAAAGTGCGATTCCAAAGGGAGCGCGCCTCTTCCAAAATTATTTGGTTTTGGAAGCAGTTCACGGGTTTATCCGTAGACTCAATCATGTGAGTGAGCGAAAGCTCACTGGGAACCGTGGTTGCGCACGATTCTGATTTGTTGTCTGGAAAGGGCATCTGCAACGAGGGTTTTTTTGTCGGGATTGTAAAAAATTGGCCCACCGGACTCAAAAAATTCGCGCCAATTGTCAGAGGTCGGTAAAGATGTTAACTTCATTGACCGCGTAAATATAGTGCCGTAACTTGGCCAGTGCCCAGACTATGGCTAACAGCACCCTTTCGTTGGTTTCATGTTAATCTCTCTGTCGCTCATCAAACGTTTTTTTATAATCTGGTTATCTGAGGATGACATCCTCAGATGTCAGGATATTACGTAATTTCTCGAAGGCACGTTGCTGCGCTTCGGAAAATTTTACTTGAATATTCCTGGATCTGTGCCTACTGACACTCCCATTCTCGGCCTTTAGTATATCTGAAATGGGCTATCTATAAATGTCGCTATTGATGCAACATATTTAATGAAGCATCTATAATAGCTAGCCAAGCCCAAGAACGACCTTGCCTCAAATACATTTTCGGGCTCTGGGAATTCTTTTATGGCCTTGCTGCACCATTTTTGGTGACTTTTCCGCAGATATCCTCATATTTGCATCGTATAGGCTTTTTAGAACCCAATCTACGTGTCTTAAATGGGCATTTTCATCCTCTGAGAAGATGATTACATCGTTAACGTAAAAGTAGCAGAGCTTGCCGATTTGCTAATGCAGAATATCGTCAATTGTCCTTTGAAAGGTGCTTGCAGCATTCCTGAGTCTGAATGGAAGTCTTCGGAACTCATATTTCCCTCCGTTTACTGAGAATGATGTCTTCTCACGGTCGCGTTCAGCGAGCGTGATTTGGTGATAGCCAGATTTCAGGTCGAGTGTCCTGAAGTACTTGGCTTTTCCGAGATTCCCCAATATCATTGAGATATTTGGCATGGGGTATCTGTCGGGTACCGTCCTTTTGCCCGATTCATCGAAGCCCTTTTTGTCTGCGACCCATATGGGGTTATTGTAGGGGGTCTTCGACTTTTAAATAATGCCATCTTTAAGCAGCTCTTGGATTTCGCCGTTGACGAAGTCAGCTGTTCCCATGGATACAGTTTTGGCATAAATGGGCTCCTCATCAACCGTCCGGATGGTGGCTACCACCGACGTGTTGTAAGGGAGAGCCTCATTAGGATCAGCAAAGGCTTCCTACTTCCGAGCATTTAAAAAAAAAACTTATACTTATACTTATAACTTATCACCGCCCTATCGTTAAGAATGTTTCACACACAATCTAAATGTCGAATATGTATTTATATGTATTCATTATTTTCTGCCGCTATCTGTTTCTACAATTATTTTTTAATATACTCGCCCTTTAGGGTTTCATTGTATTGTTCTTCTAAGTTTACAAGTAATGCATAGCCTTGTCTTTTTTTATTGTTTGGCACGCAATTAATTGAATTAGCTTTTGTGCAACTCCGCTATTTATATTCATTTCAGGGTGACTTTAATACTTTGAAGTGTGATACTGTTTATTCACTATAACATTTCCAAAACGTAATAAGCGATAGACGACTCTGATAATAGACCTTAACACACTAATTACAGGATTTTATCTTTCCCTCCAGGAACTCCTTCAGCATAAATCTGTATGTTGTCATTTAGATTTAGAGCTTCAATTTGTTAATAGCCGAACTGCATTTTTTGTGTTGATATAAGTCAGACTCAACGAGCGAGTCGCATCTTTCCCTTTTGCTTTCCGATATTTTGCAACTCTATGTGTGCATATTTAAATACTACGTTTTTTTTATTAAGATTTAACTTAAAAATATTATCTAATATATATATTATGAACTTAATAATATTTGAATGGTTCAATTTTAGGAAAATAAATCATGTACTCTGTCATTATTTTTATAGATATGTTGATGAACTTCTTTATTGGTCGGGTCGCAGAATGATATTAGACGAATACTTGCAAGGAGACTTAACACCTAGAAGGTTACCTTCTTCTTGGGTAACGACTCATAAGTATGTTTTTCAATCAGATGATGGAAGTCTATCAGTCTTGGATACAACCACAAACTTAGTAAAAGTATTGGTGACAAATCACACCCTTCGCCAACTAAATGTTCGAGGATATTTATGTTCCAACAATCTTAAATATGTATTGTTCACGCACAATGTAAAAAAAGTAAGTGTTCTCCTAAATGTTCTATTTAATAATAAACAAACTCTTTTCGTAGAATTTTCAGAAATCATTTACCGCATTTTATACTATTTATGATGTAAACAATGATCACCACACGCCAGTAAAATTAAAAGACTCATTAAAGGTACAAAGAACTCGTCTTCAGTATGCGGCTTGGCTTGGCAATACGACTGCAATTATATTTGTAGTGAAAAATGATATTTTTATCCGACAATCACCTTTAGTGGAGGAAGATATAAGAATAACCTCATCGGGACATGAAAACCAAATATATAATGGCGTTCCTGATTGGCTTTACCAAGGTATAATATATTTATCTACTAATACCCCATATCATATTATACATGGGTGCTACGTAAAATGCTTTAGTTTGATATAGTATAGTATAGTATCGTATAGTAACTTTTTACCACGCCCACTCCAACGCCCACAAAGCGCCTAAAACTGACACGTCCAGACTTTGAAAAAATTTTGAAATTATTTTTAATTTTATTATTTTTTTCCCCAATTTCTACCGATATTCCAAAACATTTTGAAATTTCTCGTTTGCACTTCCACTAGAGTAACGGTTATCTGATATTCGGGAAACTCGAAACTCTTTTTGTTTATTACAAAGGATGTAAGTTCACCGTGCTGACACTAAGATAAAACTGACCTTCAAATGGTGAGTGACAACAATTTCAAAATGCTTAAAGATAGAAAACTATAAAGACTTACCTCGGTAATCGCTTCCATCCAATTTGTACCTTTGTTTGTTGAGAGAAAAATGTAACCTGTATAAATACCGGTAAAATTTAACAGAGACCTTAAATATTTAGAAGGTATTTTTGATTTTTTGATAGATTCTACTTTTGTTAATATAATATCTCTAGAGTAGAGATCTGAAAAATTAGCCAGATCAAATTTGTTAATCCTCGGAAAATTTGCCTTGCGAAAACAGTTTCTATCAACAGTTGATACTTTGTATGCAGTTAGAAGTAATGTTTTTGGTTTGACTTCATTTTATTTGTACTTTGGTTTTAACTTCTTTTCTCTGCATACGCACAGGCTTTACTTATCATTGAATTCGTTAACTCAAATTAACACTTAATTTAAATTCACTTAAAAATCATGGATTTGAAATGTAATAAAAATAATAAAAACAAGAGAGAATGCTATAGTCGAGTTCACCGACTATCAGTTACCCGTTACTCAGCTGTCCTCAGGCTCTCTCGAATTTTTCTTCGAAAGCCAGTGAGAGATCGTTCTAGAGCCAGCAGTTCTCTTGTACGCATACAGCGACAGTCGACAACTCTATGTGTGCAAGTTATGAGTTTCTCTTCTGTGTTCAGGAGTCTTCCTTCTCAAGATTAGGTATGATCGCTGCAGTTAGGAAGATTACGTTGGAGGGCTTGACTTCGCCCCCTTAGTTATCTTGCTAGCCTTGTGGCTTAGCATCCCAATGTAAATAAGTACAAAGTGATTTTACGGCTACGCGCCGGAGTTATGCTGTGCTTTATTGAGCAGCCTTTTTAGAACTGAAGTACAGACAATATTCTTGCTTAGTCTACCCTACGCGACAATGCATTTTGAAATCATCACGCCACCAAGATATGAGCGGCAAGCCGACTCAGCATTCCTTGCGGCACAGCGCGACACTCCAAATGGGAAGCGTCGGACTTCTACCGCCGAACGGTCTCAGCATAGAGCGCTGAACTCCATTATGGCGTGTCAGCATTACTTTGCGAGGCTACTTAGTTGCTAAGGGAATGTGAACTTGATGGGTTGTTAACTATCCCCCCCTCAGGCCTTTGACCGTCCTCGGTCAAGCTGTATTTGTCGATGGACCGCTGCATCTCCTCGGAGGCTCGTCTTCTCCTTAACGCCAGGTAAAGTAAGAAGGAGCCCATCAGGCCAACGTTCAGGATGACACCAGCTGCGAACCAGACCCTAGGCGAGCCTGCAGATTCAACTTCTTCCTTAAAATTTTGGATGGAGCGCAAGTTTTCACTGTTCATTCTGTGCAACAGAGGGATACTGAGCACCGGGTCGTGGCCGATGATATTAACTAGTGGAGATCTGACGATTCCTGGTTGCTTGCTTAGTGCCTTTCGGATGTTTACAAATTCGGTACCATTGATGGTTGCCGTTTGCTCGAAGGTCACCAGGTACGTTCCCTCGATCAGAATCTCTGGCCCACCATCTGTGCTGACGTGGGCTGTTGCTTCGTTGATTATCACAACACCGTCGTCAACCAGCGTTATTGCTTGCAAGTGGCTGGGTTGTGTGTGGCATTGTGCAGAGTTTCCCGCATGGAGTGAACGCGCATATGATTTGCGCCGGGTCCGTTCGCAGAACGTGTGGTGTGTGGTCTCAATGCATCCTGTGACCGCGAAGGTGTCATCTTTACATTCCGCCAGTGTGTTGTCGTCGAGGCGTAGGAGAATGTGTTGATGGGAGACTGGGTAGACAGCGACCTTCTTGCACCTGAACTTAACCCTTGGGTAGGCTATTAGTATATGGATGATGTTTGCGGACTGGAGGACTCTAATTTTAGATGCTTCTATTACTATAGGAGTGTCTTGTTCGACAAGCGATTTCAGATCGGCATGATCAAGGATTGTGGGGTTTACTATATTTGACTTGGCCAGCGTAATGGTAAGAATCAAATTTTGGATTTCTGTGGAAAGCATCCTATTTCTTGCCAATAGTGCTTCGAATAGATGTGGGGTGTCAACCAAGTCGTTTTTTCGGGCTTTAATTATCTTATTGATTGTGTCGGTTAGTCTATCGATTTGTTTCTGGGTTTCTGAGTTGATGATTATCTGCCTAGAGTTAGATTCCACTAGCTGAGCCTCCGTTATCTTGATCTTTAGAAAATCGGAGGCATCAGGAGTACCCGCCACTACTTTCAAGGCTGTACCTAAGAAGTCTAAGCTCCTGGCAATCCTGTGGTGAACATTAAGGACGGACAACAACGTTCTCAGGTGATCTGTTGCAACCTCTAGCAACTTACGCATGTGGGACTGGGGAAAGGACTCGGACAGTTTTTGTGTTTCGTCTATCATGATAGCGTACTCGGAAAGGTTAATTGAATGTTTCAAGAGGTCACGCTGTTCAAACACCAGCACATCCCCATCTAACACGGGAATGTATTTGGCATGCGAAAAGTCGGTGATCCGAGCATTCACTAATACCAGGGGCATTAACATCATGAGGGTGAACTTGGAAATTAAAGACAAGGTGAGACTCCGGTGCTCGGGTTTTCCTTAACGTAACTTATTAACTAACTGTAAAGGGAGCGCTTACTTGAGGTTGTCCTTATGGACCACCCTCCCCTTAATGAGGACAAACGTTCCTAGGTCTGCTTGCACCTTTTGTTCCGTGCATAATCGGGCCAGCTTGTTTTCTAACCTCTTGTTGTTTTTTACAAAGACCTGTTCTCCTACCTCAAATATGCGGTTTTGTCTGGTCGGGTTGCATAGTCGGCTTATGGCTTTTGCATAATACGGACGTTCGCGAGTAAAGGTCTTCTTGTAGTGAAATATCAACAACTCTTTTTTAATCTTACTGTGCACGAGCACAAGTTCTATTTTTAGCCACTGCACAGCGGTGGTGACAAACATTTGCGGTACTTATCATAGATAAGCTCAACCGAAACGACGCTTTGTACGCCCCTCGCCTGCGCACTGCGCAAGCGTGAGGCTGATACCGTTTGATCTTCGCTCGAACTAGCGAAGTTGTTTACAGTGTGTTATTTAGGAAAAATAATATCAGTTGTAATAATGGATAATAAAACAGTGACTCACTCCCTATCTAGAGAAAGACTAGCGGAGATGAGAAAAGTAGCCGGAGCAAGCCCTGCAACAATTCGCACACAAATATCAAAAGGCGCAATATCATCAAATGATACTTTACCGCCGCAAGCGATGTACACTCTCCCATCGGTAACAACTAGTAGTAACACCAATGTTACCTACACCATAACTACGACCCAAGCTAACTGTAGGACTACAAGCTCATATACTGTGATAGCAGCAGCAAGTTCTAGGTCCCCAACAACGTCTCTTGGAATACCTACGATTTCTGAATTAGCACCTCCCATCGCTCGAACAGCGAATGTTCCAATCAGTCATACCTGAGGGCAGGAAACTTAAGGGAAACAGGCGTCGCAGCTGCAGAAGATACCATCTAATGTTGAGACACCCTCATTGTCTCCACTTAGCAATAACCGATTTGCAGCCTTGGCTGAAGAAGCAGATCGAATTATGCAAGTAAACCTGACTGAAAGTAGTTCTGATGAAGAAGAAACAACTCCAGCTGCTGATAATGGAAGCAGACAATCTTCAAATGCGGTTAAGCCTCCAGCCATTTGTGTCCCAAACATCAACAATCCCCACGCACTGGAACTGGCGCTGAATTCGTGTACTGGTGAGAGCAATTATACTCTACGAACTTCGAAATTCGGAGTGTCACGGATATACACGGTCAATTCTGAGGCCTTCCGTGCCGTTGTAAAGAAATTAACTTCTCTTAATTGTAAGTTCTCGCATCATCAACTAAAAGAGGACAAAGTCGTGCTCAAGGGAATGCATGCAAGTGTTCCCAAGGAACAAATTAAGAATGCATTTGCTGATCTTGGTTACGAAACTCTCAACATATATTGTCCGAGAAAAGGAGACTGGCAGAACGAACAAATCTGTGATGGGGATGACGAAGCGGCTATCAACCACAAGACCAGACAAAACCTGTTCTTCGTTAATCTAAAATACGTCTTAAAAATTTCTGAAGTTCTAAAGGTAACGCAACTTGGAAGACACAGAGTCACCATAGAACGTGCTCGTCGCAGGAAAGAAGTCCTCCAATGTCTGAGATGCCACATTTTTGGGCACTCCAAAAACTATTGTCTCCAGGATCCAATCTGTGGCAAGTGTGCTGGGCCCCACGCAACTGGCTCTACGCTATGCACGAGTGACAATTATTTGTGCATCAACTGCGGTGGTAATCATGCTTCAACGGACAAAAACTGCCCTGTCAGAATTGAAAAAGGAAAGAAGCTTAAGCCAAACCCAAGGCTCCCTACCTTTGTTGGTCAAGGCAACGCTGTCAGCTCTAAAAAAGGTGAAAGCTGTACTCACGGATTCATTCCGGCTGAGGCCATCAGAAGTAATATTTCATACGCCGATATTGCACGGCCCAAAGGTCCTCAATTTGGATCATCTGCGACACCACAGTGAACTAGACTCACCTCAAGACTTAGGCCTTGGAAAAAAGTTTCGGGCGCTGGAAAGCGCCATCTGAGATATAAACTCGAGAATGGACA